AGGGGGGGGGGTACAAGGCAAATAAATACTGTGATAATGGGAAGAATATCCAACCAGCTGATTACAGGCACGATCGGCAAGCCAATCCTTTCGTGGATCCTGGAGAGGAGGGAGGATCAGCTATGGCATTGTACGGCCTGTTGTGAAACCTATTCTCCAACCAGAACCAAATAACCAAGTACACTTTCAAAGACCGAATGAAAAAAACATAGAGTTCAGAAAGTGTGGCTGGGTATTTTCAAGCTAATGTCGAAGTTGTCGAGGTGGTTAATGAAAAGGTATTACATGTATCAATATCATTTTTAGTACGCATTTGTGGAAGGCGTAAAATAAGTTCGAAGATTTTGCTTTTACCGGACATATACTTTATTGAAAGTGAAAGGCATTACTTCTTGACTTCAAAACAACACTAGATTTAGATCTAGATATCTAGATCTATATATCTAGTAATCTAGATTCTAGTCAAGTTTGGTGAATTATCCAATACGATGGCGAGTTCTGTCATGCGCACTTACGTAGCATACTCCGCAACACTTTTCCCACCCGGAGCGAGATCTTCTTCGTCCATTTTGAACCTCAAAGATCTAAAGCTGAATTTTGGAGATATTTCACTCAATATGAATATGAAGTTTGCACCAGTACTATAAATGTAGAGCGCACGTTTTCGTCTTGTCTCGATTCACGAGTTTGGAAAAATGTGTTCAATAGTAGTACAGCAATGTGTTTCGGGAATCCGCGCTCTCCTGTCAGAACATTGAACATGTCTTTATTGCTGAAACAGCACCTGACCTGTTCGTGAGGTCACTATCATAAACATTGCATTTTACTATATTATCAAATGTACACTGAAAGATGGTACACCACCATCATGAATACATAAAAAATAGTTGCACATAAGTTAAGAGCAATAAATATAGATGTCGCCATCATCGCTGGTTTTTCTTTTTTTTAAATTGTTCTTTTAATATTTGCATAATAATATTATGTATAACCTTTTGTCCTTGGTATTTGTTTTTAGATGTTACGCCCTAAAAGTAGTAGATGCATCTTCATCACAGTAATATAGAAGTGGGCATAGG